AAGATGAATCACTATTATTTATACTGTGTGGCAGCTAGAATCCTCCACCCCCTCGTGCCTGGCACTGTACAAAGCGCATAGTAGAGGATGATCCTTGCCCCAAATTCTTGCTGTCTATTGAGAATTTGGACTTCTACGACTTGTAGAAGCGGGAGCAGGGCTGAATTTTACTAGCTGAGATCAGTAGTGCACGTTCACTTCTGGAATTACTTTGCTGTTTCATAGAATCATAGAATCATAGAATCGTTAGGGCTGGAAGGGACCTTCAAAGGTCATCTAGTCCAACCCCCCTGCAAGGAACAGGGATATCTCCAACTAGATCAGGTTGCTCAGGGCCTCGTCCAACCTGGCCTTGAACGTCTCCAGGGATGGAGCATCCACCACCTCTCTGGGCAACCTGTTCCAGTGTTCTACAACTCTCATGGTAAAAAATTCTTTCCTAATAACCTCTCTGAATCTACCTCCCTCTATTTTAAAACCATTACCCCTTGTCCTATCACAACAGGCCCTCCTGAACAGCCTCTCCCCATCTTTCTTGTAGGCCCCCTTGAGGTACTGGAAGACCGCTATAAGGTCACCCCGGAGCCTCCTCTTCTCCAGGCTGAACAGCCCCAACTCTTTCAGCCTGTCCTCATAGGAAAGGTGCTCCAGCCCTCTGTTTGCAGGTCCACAGAAGGTTATGGTAATTGCTTACATGGCCAAGCTGTTGGCGTGTGGTCTTTTGACAAGCATGGCACAAGAGCTTCTATTCACACTTTAACATATTAGAGCTGAAATTCTTGTTGACATGATCTGCTTGTCCTGTTGCGTGTTCCCACAGAATCTAATTATCCTGGCCATTTGGGCGACTTAATTTCTCCTTCTTTTTCAGAGTTAAAGACTGATCAAAATTTTAGTACTGATGTGAAATATCTGGGGTTTATGATGATTGTGACCTGGTACTTCACAAAGAGAGTGATGTTATAAATAATGCATCACGAGGCTGCAGGTTAATACCACTGAGATGACCACAGTGCAACCAAATGTCCTACTTACCGTACATACGGAGCCACAGATCTATATTTGGATTTTTATAAATGCTCTTTCTAAAAAAATTCTAATAAAAACAAATCTTCCCAAACATGGCTTGCTGGTACTTGTAAGCTAGGTTTTTCCTTCCTTGTTTTCAATCATGCTGAAACATGCTCAAATGATCAGCGATCTCTTCCAAATTTTAAAACCAAAAATTAATTAGCTATCTGTTTCAGGGACAGATAGTGATTCAGATTCAGGATGTTTTTTCTTCCTTGCTGCTCTCATCATGCACACCTCCAAAGCTGCTAATAGTATTTTGTGTATCTCTGTTTCGTGCAGGATATCATGTCAACAATTTTCTGTTCTGCGTTTCTGGTAAGGACAAGTTTCTTGTGTCCTGCTGTTGGCTCTTGTGGTATCCTTCCCTTCTGTTCTCATTTCTTCCTTCCATACCTCCCTTCTCCCAAGTTCACAGCATGATTTCAACCTAAAGCCTAGCCCAGAGCTCATGTGCAAGAGGCCATCTGTAGGATCTTTGGATGCAGTTTGCAACCATGGGAACCTGCAATAACCGCGGTCCAGGCTGACAGCAAGAGTAAAGGTTTGCACTCACTATTTCTCCCTAGGAGCCAGCAAGGATTGTGAAGCAGCTTCATGCCTGCCATGGGAAGAAGGTCTCTGGCATACGGTCATAGCCTTAAAGAAGGCTAAAGGTGTAGACACAACGTCAAGAGTGCTTCCTGCAGCATATTCAGATGCCAAACAGGATTCTCTCCCAGCCAATCCAGGAAATTTAAGGGGCAGTCCTAACCTTGCCCACCCTTCCCCGTTTCCACTGCTTACACAATTCAGATTTAAATAGGCACAGGCTGCCTCTTAGCAGCTTGTTAAAAACGGAATTCCTCTTGCAATTCATTTTTTCCTTCCCACCAGGAGCTCCACTCCACGGTGCCCATGCAGACACCTGTGTGCTGCTCTGTGCCACTGCCCCGACCCTGCTCTGCTGTGGCAGCCGTGCTTGAGCTTGGCATACGCTGTACCTCACACTTGGAAGTATTTATTAGTGTTTCCTTTACGATCAGTCCATGTGAGAGCCCAGCAAGGAGGAAGGTAGCCACCCCCTTATGTTGATAGTTCTCCAGTGGCAAGCTTTCTCACCCTGTTGTCCCAGCTCTTCTCAGCCAGTTGCACCATATTTAGGGCAAATTTGAAGCTCAGCCAAGCTGACAATCAAAGTTCCCCTTGATATAGCCTCCAACAGCAGGAAGCTCCCGATGGTGTTGTCATTCTCATGCCTACTGCTCAGGTTTTTATTTTTTACCCTAACACATGGGATATGCTGAACATGAGACAAGGGAATGGGTGGTTCTTAGAAATGTGTAATGAAATATGATACACATCTGAGTGCTGCAGATTTTGATTTTCCTTTACCAAATCGTAGCAGCTGAAGCTGTGGTGCCTACAGTGAAGTCGTCTCATGGTTTCTAGTCTACTTTACTGATTCAACCTGTTTGCAAATTTCTGAAACTTTTGGTATCTGAAGTACTCCCAGGTTTTGTCTCTGCTTTATTGCAATCAAAAACAACCCCCCCAACATTTTTTTTTTCACTTTTCTGTGAAACATCAGTGGAGAGGGAAAAAATAAGAGTCACCCAAACCGAAATTGGGCAAGTTACAAAGTTCATTAGCTGGGCAGGCAAAAGTGGTTTCGTTTGGAAACTGAAGCACGGCATGGAAACAGCCTTCGGTTAGATGTCATACATCTCACCACCACTGGCTTTGGCTTCATGAGTCTCCCTGGCAAATGATGGACGTGTGGACTTGCTGATTGTCGTGCTGAGGTTAAAAGAAAGGATTTGCTCTTCTTTTGTAGACAGGTGAATATAGTGAGTGTAGGAAAACTTTGCACGGTAGTCAAGAGCATAGTCAAGGGTTGTGCAGGTTGAACTTTACTTTCTTGAACTTCAGTGTTTGTGTTTGGATGCATCTGTGAGCTCCGTGTGCTGTAGAATCATAGAATCATAGAACGGTTTGGGTTGGAAGGGACCTCAAAGATCATCCAGTTCCAACCCCCTGCCATGGGCAGGGACACCCTCCACTACACCAGGTTGCCCAAAGCCTCATCCAACCTGGCCTTGAACACTTCCAGGGATGGGGCCAGTGTAGCTGCACTCAGTATTAACTCATGTGTTGAGATGGGGGTGGGAATTAGCCCTCAGGCCTCCAGTTTTCACTGAAGTTGTTCATGCAGCTGCATCTCAGTTCTTGGCTACCTGGAGCTGCATATGGAGCGGGGCAGGAGCCTGGCTGGTTCCCTCTGCAGCTGAGGCATCAGTCTCCCACCAGGGAATCCCGATGCCACCGAGCAGCCTCTGATCCTGTCCCAGAGCGGGACAGAGTGGGGACTGCCCGGCTCCATGCAGAGCAGCTTTATACTGGCAGATTCCTTCACACGGAGGGATCTCCTGCAGCCCATGGCGTTGCTGCTGGAGCGGAAGGACACAAAGGCACCTCCAAGGATCTGGCTCCCAGACTTCAGTGGGCGTGGGGGAAGTCTGGAGGTCAAAGGCCCAGACCCAGGCATCCCTGTTTGCTCTTCCTCTCGCCCGTATCGGGCTCCCATCTCCTTCCCACTTCCACAACAACTCCTGGATGTTTGGAGAATCAACTGCACGTTGCCTGCCTGGCTGTCCGCCACGAGGGCACTGGGAGATGAGGTCATGTGGGAAAACAGGTCTGGTGGAGCCAAGAGGAATGTGGAATTTGGGCAGCAGCCAAATCAAGATTACTTTTATAGGGCCATCTGCACCTGTGTTTGTGGGGGCGGGGGTATCCGAGGCCGTGGAGCTGACTCAGCAGTTGCACACACAAAGGCTGGCAGGGACCTCCGCTCTCGTCGCCCCCGTGTCCATGCCAGCACCCTATCATTCCCGTCCAGGTGCAAGTAATCTGTGTTGAGAAATCACAAAAAAAAACTCATCCCAGGAGATGACGTGAGACTGATAGCGAAGGAACAACTGCTGAGGTACTCCGTCCAGAAAATACCAGCTATTTGTGAAAAACACGCCCGTCCTTAAATCTGTGTCCTGGAACTGGGATCAGGCCGGGGGGGGAATGGTGGACGCAGTTTTCCGAAAGCTACATCCCACTTTCAGCACAGGCCCGTAAACAGGAGGGGTGTGCGGTAGCGAGGGGGATCTGCTGTCTCCATAGTGCCTGTGCTGGCTTTTTTTTGGTTG